AAGCCAGCGAGATCCAGGACATAAACTATTCAGCCACAACAGATTTTATAACTACCATTTTCTTTTTATTTCTTTCTATGTTCCCCCCTCTGCCTCTCTCTCTCTCTCTCTCTCTCTCTCTCTCTCTCTCTCCCTCTCTCTCTCTCTCTCTCTCTCTCTCTCTCTTTCTCTCTCTCTCTCTCTCTGTGTGTGTGTGTATGTGTGGTGTACGCATGTCTGTGTGCCTTCTTGAAGGCTACGGTTGATGTTCAGTGTCACCACGCACTCACCATTTCAGTTAAGACTTCCTGTCCAGCAAAGCCTAGAATCTGCCTATCTCCACACCATAGTGCTAGACTGCAAGCACACTGCTTTCTGCATGTTTGCTGGGGATCCTAATTGATATCCTTGCAAACAACTGGCCTATCTCCCCAGTCCTACTATCATCTTTTATTTATTTATTTAGGATCATGGTGAAATTAACATAAAATAAAATTCACCATTTTATCTACTTTAAAATGTGAAATGTAGGGAGTGGAGAGATAGCTCAGCAGTTAAGAGCACTGACTATTGTTCCAGAGGACTCAGGTTCAATTCTTGGCACCCACGTGGCAGCTCACACCTGTCTGTAAGTTCAGGATCTAACATCCTCACAGACACACATACAGGCAAAACACCAATAAAATAAAAATTAGTTTTTAAAATGTATAATTTAAAGGCATTTTATTACATTCACAGTATGGTGCAACCAGCATCACAATGTTCCACAATAATTTACCACCCACAAGGAAGCCCAAGCCCATTAAGACACTTTTCAAGCCTGCTCTGTCCCCTGAGAAATCCCTACCTCCACGGATGGACCTGTTTAAGATAGCTCGTGTGAATACCGCCATGCAATACTTGACTTTCTGGCTTTCTTCATCTAGCACAATTTTTCAAGATATCAATGTTGGAGTACGTGTCAGTATTTTGTTACTTTTAGGACTAAATAATACAGTAGTTCCTCTGGTCCATAGTTTCACTTTCTGTGAATGTAATTACTAGCAGACAACCTCTATCTAAAAATAAATGGAAAATTCAAGAAATAAACAACTTATAAGTTTTAAATTGTGTACTATCCTGAGCGATGTGATGAAATATCCAATCACTCCTTCATTAAATGGATCCACATTGTATATACTACTTGCCTGCTAGTTCTACAACTCAGGTATCGAGCTATTGATGCACAGCAGAATTTCAGAACATAATTTAGTCTGACTCCAATAATTTTGTCTTCTTAGATAAGCCACTAATGCCTTAGGCCTTATCATCTAGATTCCATCCTTATCATTTTTGGAGGTCTAGCAACTACGAAGGCCTCTGTATAATTAGGCTCACTATTTTCACCTTGCTATCTGTAGCCTATCTTTCTATCTATCACAGTGGCCCCAATGGTTGCACTAACAGAGAACTGGCGTTTGTCCTGACTTCTCTTGGAAAAAAAAGCTGAAGCCCAGCTATGGTCTCTAAGGGCAGTTCTTGTCACCTGCCTGCCTTCATGCACTGCCACTCTTCCCCTGGTGCTCGCCCACAGCCGCCTCTTCTGTCTCCTTACAGTCTGTGCATACTTCTGCCTTCGTCCTTTCTTTCCATCAGCTGCAATATCCCTGCCAGAGAACTCAACAGCTTACTCTTTTAGCATCAATGGCTAAGTGTTACCTTCTCAGAGTCTAAACCCTGAATGTACAGTACCCTACCTTGAAACTTCCTCTGTCAAACAAATTATTCCATTACTTTTCAAGTCAGCCTCATACAAGTTTTCAGAACACAAGCAAAATGAAGTCGGATTCTTTTCACGAACCAGTTCCACCCAGGGTCCTCGTTCTTTCCTGAACCCTCAAGAATCATACCTCCACTGCCTGCCTCTCAGCATTCTGGTCTTCTGGTTCCCACCAAAATGGCCCAGTGATCGCTGCTTACATCATTCTATGGAATGAGGAAAGGGAGGGGTTTTGTTCCGTTTTGTTTTCTACCCGGTTGCTTCAGGGATATAGTCCGCCATAACAGGGAAGAAATGGTGACAGGGTCACGGAGTAGCTGGTCACAGAAGCCATCCCTGCAGCATGCTTGTTTCCTCCTTTTGACTCAGTCTGTGACCCCACCTTTGAGATGCTGTTGCCTACAGATTCACATTCATTTAACCCAGATACAGAGTCTCCCTCACAGCCACGACAGAGGTCAAAATGAGAATGTCAACCACCACATATGTAGTGAATTCACATGAAGACAGAAGGGAATAAGTCACAGAAAATATCTCATGTATTTCTGGAACCTAAAGAATGTTGAACTCAACAAATGATGGTGATTTCCAAACCTCAAAGATAGGAGTAATGTCGTTTAAAGAATACAAATGTTGGTTAAATGGAAATGATTCTATAATGCAAGGATACCTGAAAAGTCCTAAAACAGGATTGGACATGGTAACACAAAATTTTAATCTCAGCACTCAAGGGCAGCCTGGTCTACACAGGCAAGCAAGAGCTACACATTGAGGCTCTAACTTAAAAGCAAAAGCAGAGAAAGAGAAAGAGAAGGAGACAGAGGCAGAGGAGGGGGGTGACAAACAGAAAAGAAACTGCTAAGACATAGATCTTAAATAGTATCCATATAAAATGAACATCAACTATGTGTGGCAACATTAACTCAATTTAGTCATTTCAATGTATATACCTCAAAGTAACATACTGTATGTAACAAATGCATGTAACTCTTTTTTATTGCTAAAACTGGGAATTCAATAAGAGGACCTTGTATTCTTTTGGATTATTAAGTCACCATTGTGCCTCAAAAAGAAACTAGCATGTCACTGCCCCTCTGTGAACACTTCCTGAGAGAGAGAAAGGGACTGGACTATGACTCCTGCACATGAAGAAGCTGCCACTTCAGACTGGCCTTGGACTTGACAGGCCTCACGTGACTGTTTTCTGTTTGCCCAGTATACTTCTTCCTTATTATTTACTTGCTGGTAGTGTACGAATCTTTCCTACAGTGTCATATAATGCTTCTATCAGTACAATATTCAAGAATGTAAGTCATATAGTCCATGGAATAGCTCCTACCTTCCTCTGCTTTCTCAAAAGATAATCTCTGCACACAGCAGGATCTGGTAAACATCTCTGCATCAGGAGCTTCTCAGGCATTTTCAAATATTTTTCCTCTCCAACCCCACTACTACCAGTGGCCAGCCACCATATAGGAAAAGCCCTGTCCCCTCTTTTTTTTTTTTTTTTTTTTTTTTTTTTTTTTTAAGCACAGAACTATAACATTCCTGAAGCTCAAGTTGGTGTGGTAATAGTGAAAGTATTATCTTGCAGATGAATGTGCACGTTGTACAAAATGTTTCCCGTTTTTGCTACAGTTGCTTAGGGCCTGATTAACACATGCATTTGCTGCTGAAGTATAAGCTGATCTATGTCTGAGGCTGAAATTTTTTTAATTCTTCCTCTTTAAATTCTGTTCAGCTTTGTTCTTCAATGACTCATCTTAAATTGACTTCTAACTTGTAACACCCCCCCACCCCCAACCTCATCGATTCCCCTCAAGGGTAGATGGAAAGGAGGTCATTTTATTACTAATCTAAACTCTTCCAGAGATTCTAGGGCGATAGATCATCAAGTAAAGGCATTTGCCACAAAACCTTATGCCCTGAGTTAGATCCCTAAATCACAAGATGAAAGAAGTCCTTCAAGCTGTCCTCTGACCTCCATGTGTATCCATATGTACATACAAACGACAGACCGCCGCAAAGATAGACACTATAAATAAATGTGGTTTAAAAATTTAAGCTCTTCCAGCAATTCTTCTTACCTTTTTTCAAATTTAGTGAAACTTAGCCATCTTTTCATCAAGTATATTCACACAGTTTAGTAGGAAGCTAATCTAACTGTGGGTGCTGACTGTAAACCTACAGGACTACTTAAAAGAGTCCAGAGCTCCCTCTCAGCCTGGAAAGGCACTAGATACCCAAGTGTGCCTAAGCCTAACTCTATCTTTACCAGTCTTGTGCTGGTCTACACTGTGTGAAGACACACACACACAGAGAGAGAGAGAGAGAGAGAGAGAGAGAGAGAGAGAGAGAGAGAGAGAGAGAGAGAGAGAGCTGGAGTATCTGGGTATTAGGGAAAAGAGCATACCGAACAAAACCCTATGGAAAGAGTGGGCACAGTTTAGGAGAGAGCTGGGAATGATGTCTCTAAAGAATTCCTAAAACAGTGAGGACACTGGTGGCTCACATCTTTAATCCCAGCACTTGGGAGGCAAAGGCAGGAGGATCTCCAGGCTCAAGATCAGCCTGGTCTACACAGCAGGACAGCAAGGACTACACGGAGAAACCCTGTCTCAACACCCCTCCCCCCAAGAAAAGAAAGAAAGAAATTCCTGGAAAAGGCAGGGCATGGTGGTGGTGCATGCCTATAATTCCAGCAGGAGGCAGAGACAGCCATATCTCTGTGGGTTCCAGAATGGCCTGGTCTAAATAGTGAGTTCCAGGACAACCGGGAAGCATTGAGAGACCTTGTTCAAGACAAAAAACCCAAACAAATTCCTGAAGCTTTAATAGTGAGGCATTGTTCAGTAGTCTTTGTGCTAAGAAGCAAATGCCAACAGCATTTGTACTCCTTCATTATAATCACTGTCACCAAATACCAAGAATTCATGTCTTTAAAGTTATGCTTAACATGGAAGATTCTGCACAAATACTTAAGTCATAAAAATTAGCATCCCACAGCATCTGGGCATTGGGGGGCGCATGCCTTTAATCCCAGCAGTTGGGAGGCAGAGGCAGGTAGATCTCTGTGCTTGAAGCCAGCCTGGTCTACAGAGCTAGTTCCAGGACAGGCTCCGAAGCAATACACAGAAACCCTGTCTGGAAAAACCAAAAATAAATAAATAAATAAATAAAATTAGCATCCATCAGTGACACTCAAATTCTATTAGAACTGGAAATAATGTATTCATTCAGCTAGGCTGTGTCAAAATAGATACCTTTTCTTTGGAGCATAGGCCAAAAGTCCTGATCGATTTACCAGTGGATCTTCATCTGCTGGGACTGTGGAGATCCTTCCTTCTTAATTCTGTTCAAAAACAAAGCAAAAGAATGAAACATGAAACAGTGGACACAAAGATTATTAGAAATCTATAAAGTTTTGTTTTGTTTGGTGTTGTTGTTGTTGTTTGTCGAGAGAGGGTTTCTCTGTGGCTTTGGAAGCTGCCCTGGAACTAGCTCTTGTAGACCAGGCTGGCCTCGAACTCACAGAGGTCTGCCTACCTCTGCTTTGCTAGTGCTGGGATTAAAGGTTTTAGTCAACACTGCCCAGGAGAAATCTATACTTTTATTAGTTGCTATGAGTTTTAAACTATTACATGTGTTTTGAAGCATCAAACTGCTAAAATTCAAGGCACCCTACCAATTCACCAACAAATGCAATTTATTTTTATGATTAACTTAATTCACTATATTTACAATAAACTTGGAACAAATAACTATTCAATTTGTCCACAAAGACAGCCTCTTTGGGCTTCAAAATCATTGTGTGAAATTTCCACTAATGATTTTCCACTTAATTTTTAAAATTGTTATTTGAAAGTCTGTTCTTATGAAACCTGTCAAATCATAGCATACACATCAAATATCTAGAATGCTCACTCTACCTTTTATAATTCCACAGCACATAAAAGCAATGCAACTTTTAAATAGGAAAGAAAAACTCAATGAATTTGCCTTCCTAAAAATCACAAGGGGTGGGTGATGGTGGTGCATACCTTTAATCTCAGTACCATGGAGAGAGAGGCAGAGCTCTTGAGTTCCACACTAGCCTGGTTTACAGAGAGTTCTAGCATAGTCAGGGCTACACAGAGAGACCCTGTCTTGGAGGGGTTAAAAAAAAAAAAAGCACAAGGAAATTATGCCCTTCATTTTCTTCCTATATATGTATGTACTGCAGGACAAATGGAGTGAGGGTACAATTTAATTTGAGGAAAAGCAGTGAGGTAAGAAATTGAAGGATTGAAGATTAACAAACTAATGTTAGAAACTAAGATGGTATTCAACCTATGAGAGCAGAAGACAAAAGAGGGCAGCAAACACAGGCAATGACACAGCTGTAGGCTTATTCTGTCAGAGTACGAAAACACAGGCAGTCCAGGCACAGTAGCACACACCTTTAATCCCAGCATTTAGAGGCAGAGGCGAGCCTTTCTGTGAGTTGGAGGCCTGCCTGGTCTGTGTAGTTCCAGGACAACCTGAGCAATACAGTGAGACCCTCTCAAAACACAAACCACAGGCAGGCTGATCTAATGGAAAATTCACAATGAGAGCACTTCTCTTGCTGTAGCCTCCACTGACTACACAGTAAGGGCAGTGGTGAGAATACTGTTTGATCAGTTTTTATTTTCACACACACACCACAATGTAACCAACATATTTATTTATATGCTTTGATTATGCTGAGAATACACTATCCCAGAAAGTCAATCACCAAAATTCTATATGTCATACTTTGCTCACTACTAATTCGATTTATAGCTCTTAAATTATCTTGAGTTGTATTTTCCCCCCTTCCTTTAGCTTCAGTCTCACTCACAAAATACTGCTCGAGAATGTTGAAGCACCTTCCTGTCTTCATAGGCCAGATGTTTTCTTCCCCAGATTTCTGATCCTTTGCCAGTCTTCTATCCTTTAATTTTTCTGATATTGTTACTGCTCTGTCTTAGTTCTAGTAACAGCTTCTACCTCCTTCAATGTCTGTCTTGAGATAAAATTGTGTCCTTTACATTGTAAGCATTTTATACATATGCAAAAATCTTTACTCACAGTTACCTACAAAGAGCCACAATAGACACAGTCAATACAGGTGTTAAGTTGGAAGTAGACCTTCTCTTCCACTCTCTCCTTCAGAACAAACTACAGTCGGTATATCAGCTCTCACTGGACCTTAAGTCACTAGGCAAAGCCATTTCTCAACTCTCCAGCATGATACTCCAGCTATTTCCAAAGCATCCAAGGAAGTCAGTCACCAGCTCTTAGATGTGATGAAATCTTCTCTGAGATAATTTGGCTTTAAAAGAATTCACCATTTACTAGTCAATATCTTTTTAAATGTTCTACAGGAAACCTATCTTTACAGAAAATGAAAGTAGTGTTTACTAACAATCATTTTAAAATAGTAACATCCCTGCTTAGAAAAATGGTCAGGGACTTTAGTAGGAAAAACACATATGCTTGTATAAATTCTCTCATCTGGCTCACAACAGCCCTGTTCAAAGTGCTGGCATTGTGATCTCATTCATTAAGGGGGAGGCAGATGGAGACAGGTCATCATTTGCTTGGGATTGTTTAGCACAGCAATGGTTTAGAGTTGGAACTAGAATCCAGGCCTTGGGTGTTGCTTCATTTCCTTTTTAGCACACCAAACTGCCTCAGCATCAACTTAATTTTGTTCTTCAAAAAAGAAACTGTAAGCAATGGGCTACAAAGATTTTCTTTGGACCCAAACTTTCAAACCTTTGTTTACTCAATACTTACTTATGTAGTAAGCACTTAATTTTTTAATGATTATTTTATATGAAGGTTTGTTAGGAACAGGAGAGAAGAAACTACTAAAAAACAAACAAACAAACAAACAAAAGTCCTGAGAAACACAGGCTTCAATTTATTAAGTGCTACTTCATCTCCAGTGGCCCTCTTCTCCAATGAATGCCATCATATTTGTACTATGGGGCTCCACATTCCTTGTCACAGGCCAAAGTAGACATAAGGCCTCAACTCAGAAATACAAAATACTCTTAGGATCAGGAACTGGGAGAAAAGGGTCTAGTTTAGCTTAGACTGGAATAGCTGGTGTGCTCACTAGTCTACAGGAAAGGGGCCAGTCACTAAGGAGAGGACAAAAGAACAAATACACTGATCAGAGTGAATCCTGTCCAAGAGGCCACTGGCCCAACAGACAGGGACATAGTCTCTGCCTGGGACAGCAAGGAGAGGCTTTGGCTTTCCTGTCCACAGCATGGTCCTCAAGTCCTTCCATTCCACAGCTCCCAATACTCCCACATCAACTATACAGGACTTCCTCCTTGCAAGCACCTTTGGTTTCCGTAACTACAACAACAAAATCTTGCCCAAGGAAGTAACAGATTTTGTACTAATGAAAAGGCACCTACCACTTGAATTACAAAACAAACAGGTACTGCAGAATGCCCAAGGCTTCAGAAATATACCCTCATTCACTTTAAAAAGAAAGAAGAGCCCATGCAGCTACATAGGCAGCGTTATATTGACTTTCACAGGGAAAACTGCTTATTTTCTAGGACTAACATGGGTGTGTCCTCTTGAAGATGCTGGGAGTCCTGTTGCAACTTTACCCACATAGACTGGATTACTTCTTGTTATATGATACAGTTTGTCAAAATTGCACAACTTGCAAAGGAAGAAATAGCAAGCTATACCAAGACAGTGCTGGTTTGAAATAGTAACAGAAAAAGCTTTCTTCCTGTTTCTTAAATAAAGCTTCTTAACTTTGCAAATCTCCAAATGTTATTGTGAGATGGGCAAAGGATGGAAGGAGGTGTCAAGAGTCAGGCTGTACAGGTGGGTCCATCAGGAAGCTCAACCATGATTTGGACCTGATCCTTTTTGTAAGTGAGAGCTGGAAAGAATGAACCCTTGAAAGCTGCCTCCAATCTTTCTTCTACATAGTAAAGACTGAAAGCCAAGGTTTTCTTGGATTGACCTACACATCCAAATACAAGTGCTGATGGTGTGCAACGTACTCCACTGAGGGCCTGCCTCTAGGCAAAGCATAGTATTATGTGGCATACTGGTTGAAACCCTAAATTCCAGGTTTGTACTTTCTCTCCACCCTTTGATCCTACAAACACACAGCCCACATGTTCTTGTTGATTTTTTTTTTTAATCTCCCATGGTGACCTTGGGGGGGGGGAAGTACAATTTTATTGCTAACATTTAAACACTGGGAAGATTCACACAAAATTTGTGTTGGAAAGTCCAAACCTCTGGCTCTAGAAGCCAGTCCTCCTCCAGGGGTAAATTGACTGACACTGTACCATGGGCAGCCTCTTGCAATGGGCACACACTTTGGGAAGTACCCACTGCCTTGCCCACTTTTTTTCTTAAGCTTGTTCCCCATAGAAGCTATGATCTGTACCTCTGGAGCCTACAGTGTTTTTTTTAAGAGTCTTCTCTTGAATGAAAAAGCTACAACCCAAAATTTAAGACTAGGTTATATGCCACTTCAGCACAGACATAAACAGGCACGTGCCAATAACTATGGGTGCCCAACTTGCTTTCTTCTGACCTTAGTGGCACTTATTGTCACCCAAACGAGATTTTCTCCTGGATGATCAAAGTTGAAAACTGAGCCATATACTTGGCACAACTTAAAGATTCCCTTCTTGAAAGGCCAAGAAGAGAGTATGAATTACTGCCTGGGCCTTAGGGACAGCTCACTAATCACTCCACTGGGCAATAAGTGTAGAAACATAACCAGGTAAAGATTGCCAACGCCAACTATAAGGAAGGAAGCCAGCAGCTCTGGTCTAGCCCTAGGTACATTTCAGTTCCTGTAGTCTGTTCTTGGGCCTTCTCTACCCACAAGTGATTCATTTTGTTTGGACTGTAGGCCTTTTGAGACAGGATCATCATACACTATAGCCCAGACAGGACTAGAATGATCCTTCTGCCTCATTCTCGCAGGTACAGGTTCAGGCATAGGCATAGTCATAGGCATAGGTATAACATCCCTTGTTTTTAAAGAAGTCTCATTTTCTGACAGCTTCTACATAGCTACACAAAATCCAATTGCTCTCCAATTTCCAACTGATCATTACACATGTGCACAGCTGCTGGGTTTGCACAGACTTGCACTTCCCAGGTGGTGAGATCAAGCATGTGAGATAGTGTTTTCCTTCTCAGAACATCTGTTGTATTTATAATTTGAAAGATTTCATAATTAATTATGTAATACTTTAGTATACATGTTATAACTGATCAGCTAAACAGTTTTCATTCATTAAATGAGTTTTTTTCTTAAATGTATAATTTCTCTCTCTTTTTTTA